GTTTAAAACTCAAAAAGATGGTAAAACAAGACCCCCCCCCCCCCCAACAAAATCCTTAAAAAATGTCTCTAGGAACATTGTTTAGGAACCCAGGTGAAGTTCCATCCCCCTTGTGCGTCTCTGCGTGTGAAAGCTTGTCCTTGAGGGAAACTGTGCGTCTTCACACTGTTTTGTGGACTTAGTGACATGCTAAATGCCAAATCTGTCCTGCCACGGGACATACGAGGTGTGGAGAAAAGTTGACTGTCGCCCCCTGGTGGACTGGAGGAACCACAGGCTGCTGTGTTGTAGTATGGACCAGGGCTTACGTCCTGGGGATGAAATGGAGTCGAGGCAGCTCGTGGTGGTGTGAAGTGTTGGGCGGTGGTCATCGCTGGTGTAGAGCTGACCAGTGAACCTGTAGTTGTGATGGTGTACAGAGCTGAGGGGTCAAGGGTTGAATAATCTGAACGCAAGCTCTGGGAGGTGCTGTAGCCACTGGAGGTGTCCAGACTGCAGTTGCTGGATGAGTCTACGGTGCTGCTGTAATTGCAGCGTGTCTCTGCATTAGGGCTGAAGCCGACTGCATTGTCCACATTTGTCGTACTGTAAGGATCTTCTGTAGGGAGTGGACAGCTGAAAGAAGGGGTGTTGAAACTGCGTTCTGGGTCAACAGTGTTCTCGTCTTGCAGGCCTAGAGTTTCTAGTATCCATGAGTCTAGAGGTGGGGTGGCCGCCAACTCTTCAGCGGAGCAAAATTCCAAAGAGAGATTGCGGCAGGTTCGCTTTCCCTCACCGCTGTGAAGCAACTGGCTCAGGTTCCGGAAATCATCATAAGTTCTCTTTTGACGTCTTGGACCATCTGGAACCTTGCAGTTAGAAAGGAGCTTCTGCGATTTGTGGAAAAGAGAATGTAAAAGTTGATTATAAATGTATTTTGAGGAAAGATCTGACATGAGCGACAGTACAGGGCCATTCACGCCAAGAACAATAACTGTATTAGCATCCACACCAATGCATGATAGTGGATTCTAATTGGCTGTCAGTGTATAGTTATCATCCTTGGTGTGAATGGCCCTTAAAGCGTTAGTTCACCCCAAAATTAAAATTCTGTCATTAATTACTCACCCTCATGCCGTTCCAAACTCGTAAGAGCTTCATTCATCTTTGGAACACAAATTATGATATTTTTCCAAGAGCTTTTTGACCCTGCATAGACAACCACACAACTACCACATTCAAGGCCCAGAAAAGTACTGTAGTAAGGACTTTGTTAAAATAGTCCATGTGACATCAGTGGTTCAAAATGTAATTTTACCAAGCAACGAGAATACTTTTTGTGCACTGAGAAAACAAAAATAGCGACTTTATTCAACAATTCCTCTCTACCCTGTCAGTCTTCGATGCACAGTTATGACAATACCATGATGACGCATACGTGTGCATTCCTCTGAAGAGAAGAAATTGTTGAATAAAATCCTTATTTTTGTTTTCTCTATGCACAAAAAATATTCTTGTAGTTTAGTAAAAAAAAAAACAGTTGAACCACTGATGTCACATGGACTATTTTAACTATGTCCTTACTACCTTTCTGAGCCTTAAACGCGATGTGTCTAGGAACATTGTTTAGGAACCCAGGTGAAGTTCCATCCCCCTTGTGCGTCTCTGCGTGTGAAAGCTTGTCCTTGAGGGAAACTGTGCGTCTTCACACTGTTTTGTGGACTTAGTGACATGCTAAATGCCAAATCTGTCCTGCCACGGGACATACGAGGTGTGGAGAAAAGTTGACTGTCACCCCCTGGTGGACTGGAGGAACCACAGGCTGCTGTGTTGTAGTATGGACCAGGGCTTACGTCCTGGGGACAATATGGAGTGGAGGCAGCTCGTGGGGGTGTGAAGTGTTGCACGGTGGTCATTGCAGATGGAGAGCTGACCAGTGACCCTGTAGATGTGATGGTGTAGAGAGCTGAGGGGTCTAGGGTTGAATAATCAGAACCCAAGCTCTGAGAGGTGCTGTAGCCACTGGAGGTGTCCAGACTGCAGTTGCTGGATGAGTCTACAATGCTGCTGTATTCGCAGCGTGTCTCAGCATTAGGGCTGAAGCCAACTGCATTACCTACAATTGTCGTACTGTAAGGATCTTCTGTAGGAAGTGGGCAGCTGAAAGAAGGGGTGCTGAAACTGCGTTCTGGGTCAATGGTGTTCTCGTCCTGCAGGCCTAGAGTCTCTAGTATCCATGAGTCTAGAGGTGGAGTGGCCGCCAGCTCTTCAGCAGAGCAGAACTCCAAAGAAAGATTGCGGCATGTCTGCTTTCCCTCACCGTTATGAAGCAACTGGCTCAGGTTCCGGAAATCACCATGAGTTCTCTTTCGATGTCTTGAACCATCTGGAACCTTGCAGTTAGAAAGGAGCTTCTGCGATTTGTGGAAAAGAGAATGTAAAAGTTGATTATAAATGTATTTTGAGGAAAGATCTGACATGAGCGACAGTACAGGGCCATTCACGCCAAGAACAATAACTGTATTAGCATCCACACCAATGCATGATAGTGGATTCTAATTGGCTGTCAGTGTATAGTTATCATCCTTGGTGTGAATGGCCCTTAAAGCGTTAGTTCACCCCAAAATTAAAATTCTGTCATTAATTACTCACCC